GACGCTCGCACGGACGGACGGACGCTCGCACGGACGGACGGACGATCATGCGATTCTACAAGCTGCATCTGACTATGTCAGATGAGCTAAAAATCATGATTTTAATGTGAATAAAAATTTGGTACATCCAACATGGATTTTCTGACTGATGTTTCTGTTTCTCCATGATTTTATATCTACAACAAAAATCTAATTAACATGTCTCCTCTTTCAAGAAGTAACATAACCACGACATCAAAACTCCTCATGCTGACACTATATTCCGAATATATATTGTAAGTAATAACATCTATGCTGCAAGTGCACTGTAGCATAAGAATTAACATAATTAAATAAGGTTACCTGATGAAAAGATACAGGACTGACTTCAAAGAAGACCAATGTGTTCCAGCTTGGTACTAGTGATTTGACAACCTTATCTGGTCTTTTGAGTTCTAGGAAAAATAAAAATTAGTATATCTTTCATAACTAGAACTTTAATTGTATTCAATTTCAGCACCCGCCTATGAAGATAATTCATGATTGATACTCTGAAAGAATGATAAAATTTACCAACCAAGTGTACACGGCTGCGTGTATACTTTTATTTAATTATGCATGTATATGTCATTAGTCTGAAGGAAACACCAAATATAAATATGTAAAAATTGAATGTTTTAAGTGCTATAAGAAACTCATAATGAAAGTCATTTTCATGCACCCACCATCAACAGCAAATAAATCAAGACAGCCTCCGTCTGCTTCTGTCCAGGGTGGAACGAGGTACAGTATGTACGCTATTCTTCTACCTTCCAATTTATCATCATGACATAGCAGCACATCTGCAACATCAAACTTTTAATTATGTGCATCAGCAAACCTGCAATTATGCATTCGAAGTAAATTATTAAGAGGAGATTAACATTAACCCATATTATATCACACGTGACAAGTACCACTTTTCACTAGTAACGCATCTATAAGGTACATTCCTATATGGAATATACAGGGTTTAAACTTTAGCAATCACATGCAAGCTAAATGCAGCCACTGGTTTCTTCTAGAGCAGCAATAAATTGCTCACATTACCAGGTAACCAATGCAACTTAATTAGTATAAAATGTTTATAATTGCGTGCGTGCGTGCGTGCGTGTGTTGACTATTTGCCACATAAAAATGGAACACAGCTGTGGACCTATGTTTGTGAAGAATTATTTGTAGTGAGCAATAATCAATGAACAGTTCTTTCACCCACTCTGTGTTCATGTCCAAAAGATGCAAGGCAATTACCTGTGGAGTCATATCTTGATGAATTCATGTCCACTGTTTGATTCAGTGGAATTCCAGTTACATTTATCAACCAGTTTCTGAAGTCTTCATACAACAGCTGTCTGGAAAATTTAAATATATAGAAATTTACTTATAAGATTAGAGATTATTGACATTTGTTTAAAATATGTAAACAATATACCTTACTTGTAAGCAATGCAAAAGAAACATACATGAAATGCATACATGAAATGTAATATATATGCATACTACATTATAATACATAAAATGTATATAGTATTGTACAAATAAGGTGGGAGATGATTGCCAATTGTTCACAAAGGGTAAACCCATTATAAAACAGTAAACAGTAGTGTAAGTTTACTTGAACGTTGCATTTCTACTTGTTTAACGTTTATTTTATAAACAAGTTATGGCAGAATAAGTATATGTAATAGATACAAGCCATCTTACTTAAGTGCATCTATATGTGGTTTACTGCACTCCTTTAGGTCAGCTGTCTGTAATAGAACAAATATATAAACATGCATAAATCCAATAAAATGCATGTAAAATTATTATTTTTATAAGTATAAGTTATATTAGATTTAACAAAAAGAATTAGTTAGTTTAAATATATGAAGACATTAAAATATTATATGTGCTGATACAAATTTTTTTAAATATTTCCAGCATGTATATATATTGAATTGAAAGTAAATCATAAACAGAACACTTGAATCATTTAAATAAAATGATGACCTCACAACTCGGCAGGTCTCTGGCACAGCAGCCAAGAATTTGGTAGCCTGACATAAGATTCACACATCTGGTAATCACCAATGATTTAATTAGTCCTAGGTTATAGATAATTATAAATTAAAATGTTTTATTATCTTGTATAAGAGCAGATAAAAGATGCACTCGATCGTACTGTATATATATATATATCTGCAGTATGAGTGCATGTGTTATCTGCTGTTATATATATATAATAATAATATATATATTTTTACCTGTGATATCACTATAACAATCATTGCTTTTTAGATGGATACCCTGATACAAGGAGTTCATCTTCACATTTCCAAAAAGGTATCCGAGTCAATGAATTGAACAAAACACAGCAAGGAAATGTATTGCAGATAGGTGGCTGCTCCGACATCTGGAAAACAGAACAATACCTTAACATACCTAACTATACATTAAATAATAGATACATTCCTTTGTAAATTATATAACCACATCACAAGCTCTCACATTTAACGTATACTCTCAGGTCCACTTCTCGAGTTTGTACCAGCCACCCGCCACCACACTATAGGACAAGATTGATACAATCCTACTGTACAACACCATTCAGTCTATTATCTAGCCTAGCTCTTAGTACTAAGCCCCGTTCCTTAACTGCCGCAGCGACTGCGGTCCGTAAGCTGCGGGGTGGGGGCTGCTGCCGTAGCCTGCGGCCTGTTAATGAACGTGGGATATAGTATAGAGCTAACTATCTACCATAACTCTGACACACACGGCTCAATAAAACAACAGTTTTTACAGGTGTGGTCAGCTGGAACTTCTATATAATTGAGCACCTATTAGTAAATGTCAATCTTAAAATGGATCAACCTCGCAACACAAGACTAATAGACCTCAAGGGGTTACTCTTGAGGGACAATTAGACACACAGAGGTAATGGCCAGATTTGGGCCGAAAAAAAACGGCGCATGATGAATTCAATAGCACTGCAGTAGGCACGAATGTGGTTTCTCAGCAGGCAGACGCGGGGGGGGAAGTAGAGGGGTTCTGGTCCCCCCACAAAATTAAAATATAAATCGTCTTAAGACAGACGCATTGAGCACGCCGAAAATAAACTTTCACCCTTAGTAACATCTTACTACCTGTTAGGCAGACCTACCCTTTAGCTAGCTTAACGCATCGTGGAGACTCACGCATGACTGGACCCATATCTCACCGCAGACTATGAAACAATCCGCACTCCCTACCATTCTCACGCATTCACTTGCAAAAGAAACAAGTGCCGCGAGCAACCGAGCTCATCTATACGTCTACTGCTGTGACTCTGTGGTGGATGGGGTTCTAAGTAAACACCAGTTAGTTCCAAATTGTTCACAAGATACATGCCGAAACAGTGGAATGCACAGGGAGATCAGGAACATTCTCAAGGAATGTTCGTTGGGATCCAGTTATGAAGTGCCGACGAGATCGCGCGTACTTGAAGTTCTTACAGATTAAAGAGGAACTCCCATGTACGTAGTATAACCTGCTGTATGATACAGGCGTATTCTTCGCTTCACAACTACACTATCTACCGGCCGTACCGCCAGCATCAAGCCTGGCGTTCGCGAGCCTCGTTATCGCTCAGCGCAACTGAAAAACTGAGAATCATGACGTCAGCAAAAAGCCTGCTCGCTGATATGCTGATTGCAACCGTACCAAGCTCCTGATTGGCGCAACGATTCGTGTTTCGCTGCATGCGGGCTGAAATGCAAGTGGTACAGTCGTGAAGTGTAGTGAGCGAACGCGAACCGCCTTTATCATACAGGTTAACGCCAGTAGCAACAAACATTTGCAAGACAGAATAAGGAAAGCACTCAATCCATCTTACACTACGCAAGCAGCAGCTGCCCGTTAGTTCTTATAATGTAAAAAAATGCAAACAAAATTTACAAAATTTACAATAGAAAATTCGTGACGTATAACGTAATAAATTTCATATTTAAGCACTAACCTGGCTTACTCTTTCCCACAAATCGCAAGCATTCTTGAAGTGTTCTGAACTCTCCATTTTTGTAAACTGAAGACAAATGTCCTAAGCGACATCGTCTTATTTGATAGATGCCTCTGAAGAAGTGCCCGCATTATACGCCGGACCGTTTTATCTCTGTTGCCACACAATCCTCCTACGAATGAGCATTCTTCAATTGTCCTTATTGTCACATGTAACTGAACGCTTGTCCTAAACATTTGAATTACATGATAACGAAAATGAACGATGACGTCATACAACTTACAATAAAAAACATACACACGCATTTCAACAAAAACTGGAACCCAGTTACTGAACAAAAATAATATAATAAGTAATACCGCAAGCCATCACCGGAAAACATGACCAGAACCGACAACCGCATGCTCGAATCTTCTAGATTTGACCAGTACTGTCCCTTCTCACGTTCATAGCTTAATCGAGCTTGGTGAGAAGGACGGTACCAGTCAAGCTTCTACTGTCCACTCACAAATTGTTATGGTTTGATGAAAATAGCAGAGCATTATATAGCCAAATTACTGCTAGCTTATACGCTGTGTTAATGCATCTAATAATACTAATAGATCATGAACTATTATAAAGCAACATACAACCAATGAAAAACTTATCTACACGTGAAGTCGCAAAAAGCGTTGGAGCTTAGATAGCCCATGGTCGTGTTACATCAACGAACGCAACAACTCAGTACTATCGCATCAAAGAAACTATGGCCAGTGTATACCTCATTTACGTACATTCATCTGTCGTTAATCGTCTAATTTCTCTCAACTAACAAATCAATCAGGATGTACAGAAAAGAAA